TACTTAGCCCAATGTTGCTATCAATGCTATCTCTGAGATGGGAAGTCAACTGACAGCTTTGAAAGAACATAATGACATTAAAATAAGGCTTGAGGCACAAAGTGTTCGATTTGAACTTGCATGTTCGTTCATATTCTAGTTTGAGAAGTAGAAACCAAGGAAAACAACTATGAAAATTAAAATCAACTTGCTCCACATATCTGGATTATACTCAGTCAATGTTGATATCATCTTGGATAAAAATGTAAATATCACAGTTTGCTTTTCAGTAAGTAAGTCTTAATAAAGGACCTAAAATGATACCAACCAAAAACAGCTTTTAATTTTAAGGGTCAACAAACTTTTTCTACAAAGGACCAGTTAGTAAATATTTTTCAGCTTTATTTGGATATATATGGTCTCTGGTGCATGGTCTTCATTGTTTTATTTTTTAATCGCCTCTTTAAAAATGTAAAAACCACTCATAGCACAAAAGAGGTTACAGGCCACATTTAGCTCATGGGCTGTACTGTGCTGTGATTTGAAGGAAAGTGAACCCCAGACAAACATGCAATGCTATAGAATACATCTAAAAGTTTTGTAATGCCATTTAGCTTCAACAATTACCAGTGAGCAGCTATTAAAATAATTTCCTTAGTTATTTCGCACGTGGAAGGAATGTTAATGGCAGGGTGCACTAAGATCTCAGCCTGAAAAGTACAGGCATAGAAAGAAAGGGCAAAGGCTATGTGCTGAGTTATCCCAGTATAAATTTTTACAGGGCTCTGAGCCATTGTATCAATATCGACTTTTTCCCTTAACAGATATGGCTAACCAAAGTGGAAACACCTTAACTTCCAAGATACAAAGACATATGTGCAAAACAGACCTTCTCTCTAGAAAATATGATAATTTGAATTCATGGAGATGAGCACGTTCATCAGAAATAGAAAAAAATTAGAAAGACTTAGATTTGGAGTTTCACCAGAGGCTATAAATAAGGACTTTTCATTTATAAAGTTAAAACAGGCATAAAGTAGATAATTTCTACAACTCTTTCTGGTGTCAAACAATGACTATACTAAATAATGAAACCACTCAGGAAATACCTAACAGGAAGAAGGGGGTAGGGCAGGGGAGAGACAGCAAAGGGAAGAAGCTTAGATGCCCTGTTGGGGGGCAAAGCCAGGTTATCTCTTCTTGTTCTACCAGCACTTTATTGAATACAGAGACATTTCAAGATGTCAGGATACCTGCATATCAGTATTAAAAGGCACCCACATCCCACAGGAAAGATAGAGTATCACCATTCCTAATTGTCTTAAATGTTATATTTTAAAGGTATTTAAATGTTAATTATGATTATGCAAGGAAGGGGTAGGAGGCAATCAAAACATTTTCAATTTTTAAGCATTTGAACTGAAAAGTTAGTTGGTCCTAGGTACTAAGCCTATAATTTCAAGGCGATAAATACATACTTCCTCCATGGTTAACAAATATTATCTGACTGATATATTGGAAGATTTCCAGTAAGTCAGAAAAAATAAAATCTACCTTTTACCACTCCAAAGAACAGAAAGGAAATGAAGGGACTTAGAATGGCAATGCCTTAGAGAAGTGAGTAGAAAGTATCTGTGAGGCAACTGTATCTGGAATCAAAATGACTGTCTCCTTCATGACTGAGGACAGAACCCCCACATAAACGTATCTGAAGGTGAAATGTACCCATCTTAAAAACTACTTCAACTTTGGAAAGGCAAAATTAAAACTTAAAAGCATATCTTCATAGTAAGAAACAGACACACATATATATCTACCAAAACACATACACACAAACACCAGGCGTGAAGAAATGGATTTTTCCTGTGGTGTAGAGCTTCTCAAGTTCTGTCAGCAGTATTATAGGAGACCTTGTCAAACCTAGTCATGGAAAAGCCCAGGAAGTTACACACATACGTACTTTAAAAAGAAATTATGATGGAAAGAGATGGTCGACTGTTACCTCAACAACTTTAGATCACCTGAGGATGGGGTGTGGGGCTTAAGGGAAGAGTAACATGGCTGCTAGAAATGTGAACACTTTAAGACTATGTTTGCAGTTAGCAAAGAGTCTATGGAACTTTTCATTAGGCTGATGCAAACTTCACCTTACTTTTCAAGCATAATTTCAACTGCAAAGCATTAAGGATTCATGTATATAAATTCTTTGAAGCTGTCTGCTACCACTTCCTGTTGGAGCTCTGGGGCTAAATAAGAGGCATGGGATTTCCCCTCCTCCACATCAACTGAAGGCATAGCTCATAGCTTACAGCTCCTTTTTTTTTTTGACCTCATTCACCACACAAATAATGAAGACCAAGAGTTCGCATGAGAGTCATCATTGAATGTCTACCTCCTAATCTAAACTGTTGAAGAACACTGCTTTTTCACATTTTAACAGTTGCAAACCCACAAATAAGGATATTTCGATCATTAAAAATAATCCACTCAAGAAAGATTCTAATCCTTCAGAGTGAAATGTAATATACTGATAGAGGTATAGATTTAGATACATGGAGGTGTACTAGGGATTAAGTCCAGGGCCTCATGCATGAAGCACATACTATACCACTGAGCTAAACTCCTAGTCCAGAAAAGTAATTTTTTTTTTGAGACAAGATCTCACTGTCTTAAAAACAACAACAAACAAACAAAAAAGTTTCTATTTTAAAAGGTAGTAAATACCCTTACAGGAAATATAAGACAAAAGGGGGAAAAAGAGAAAGCTAGCAAAACTGTTACATGCAAGCAAAAGTTATCTAAGGAATTTTAAGCAAACTGTATCAGCGAGGTTTTTTCTTTCTTCTTTTTTTAATAGTGTGTGTGTGTGTGTGTGTGTGTGTGTGTGTGTGTGTGACCTGCATGTGGGTATCAGATGAAGCCAGAAGAGGGCATAGGATCCCGTGTGAAGCAAAAGTTACAGGCAGTTGTGAGCCACCTGACATGTATGCAGCGAACTGAACTCAGGTCCTCTGGAAGAGAGCAGCAAGCACTCTTAACTGCTGAGCCCCAAGATTTACTCACTGTCAAGGCAGAAAGAAAGTTCTCAGAGGGTCACACATAGAATGGACAAAGGCCACCCACTCAACCTGTTAGAAATTGTCATTTACCATCTGTATGGTCGGACGTATTCAACACTGAAAAAGAGTTACTTGAGATTTTGAATTTAGTACCTAATGTTAAAAACTAGTGCCCTTTAGTTGTTGTTCCAGCTCCCACCAAATCTCATAGAAATACACTTAAGAGATGACATTTAAAATCTGCTTCCTCAGAAAAGAAAAAGTCCCACTCAAGACTGACTGCCAAGAACTTGCAATTCAAACTTCCCTAAAGCAACATCATATCACCTAGGAGGTTTCCATTCAATCTGTACAAAGGAGATCAAAATAAACCAATGAGAGTGTTTACCAATGCTTAAACTGGAAAGTGCTTTATACCTAAATACTTAAAAGGTCAGGGGGGATAAGTCTCCTCTAAAATACAAATATTTAAAAATACAACCAACAAACTAGCTCCCAATTACTTCCCAAACCAGAAATTCATGGTGATAGCACTAGAAAGCCATTTGAAAGAAGCCTAAATAAGTTAGTATTAGAGGTCAGAGACATCACCCCGACCAACCAAAAGTTTAAAACTTCTGTCTTCGGTGGGCATTGCATGGCACGGGTGCACTTACCTACATGCAGGCAATACATGCATACACATAAAATTAAAATAGTAAATAAAATATTTTTAAAAAGTTTTGATTTGTTCTTCAGTTTTCAGTAAGCTACAGATCCTATTCCCTGAACACAGTGCCTTTCACTACAAATGTAAAGACAGTTCCCAGTAAAGATGAGGAAATAACAACTCTTGAATCAATTACAAGCAAACGGGAAATATATAGCATATGGTGATTCATTTAGCGAGTAATAATTAGAATAAAAACAAACTATATAGGGAGGCAGGCAGAATTTAAGATCAATTACTTGGCACAGACGTTACTATACACTTAAGCCCAAATATTTTAAAAGTTTAGGCATACTGCTTCTCAAGACAGGGTTGTAAAGGAGTGGACCATATTTTTCTGACCACACGATCCCCCCAAAGTTGCCAACCCCCTTAACATCTACTAATACTCAGAACAATTTAACACTCCACAGATATTCCATCAGTCACTTTTTTCTTCATGTACTTGATCCAAAGGAAGAAAAAATAGAAGCCAGTGCTCCCAGTTACTGGGGAAAGTCCTGCACTCCGCGTTTTCCATTTCCTCCCCTTGGCATCTGCTCTGTCTTCTCTGCTCAACAGCTTTACTACATACACTGCTTCCCCTTCTCCTTTCTAACCCACACCCAGCCCTCCTTTACTTTCTTCACCAATAGCCTCATGTCACCCTCTTACCTCTGAGCCCTTCTCCCACTTCCAATTTTCTTCTGACATCTCTGTACAGACCTTTAAGGCCAGCGTCCCTTCATCCCTCGACTCCTGATCACTCATTCATTCTCTTCATTTCCCTTCTGATTGCCTAGTCTCTCTTCTCTTATCCCTGATGTCCTCTGTCCCTTTACTTTAAGCCCCCTCTTAGTTCATCAACCCTTCATTTCCTCCTTCACATTTCTCCTCTTTCTTGTCTAATTAAAATACGGTTCGTTTCCAGTATCCTCCTCTTCTCCCTTTCCATGTGATTTCCTGTGTTCCCTCCACTTTCCCCTCTGGGATCCCTCCGGGTTCGCTCCGTGGCTCCTCGGGACCCCGACACGTCTACTCCCGGCCGCTGTGTTTCCCTTCCTTCTGCACCGGAGCAGCTCCTCCGCCCCCAGCCCAGCGTCCGCGCCCGCCCCCTCCTCTCACGCTCGCCTGCTCCCACAGTCCTGGCGTCACTGCGGGCCCCGGGATCTCCCTTCCGGGCTCTCAAGACCCCTTGTGCCCTTTCCCAGACCCCCTTAGGTACCCGCCCCCCGCGTCTCAGCCCCGGTCCCGGGCCGCGGCCGCTCCCTCACCGATGGTGGAGATGAAGGTGGTGTTGAAGGCGTCCTCGGAGAAGCGGAACAGGAGGCAGGTCTTGCCGACGCCTGAGTCGCCGATGAGCAGCAGCTTGAAGAGATAATCGTACGTCTTCGCCATCTTCTCGCTCCGACCCTCTCTGACCGCCGAGAGAGAGGAGGCGGCAGAGAGGCGCGGAGGGGGCTGCGGGCGAGGGGGCGTGCCCGCAGAGCCGCCCGCCCCGCCCCGCCCTACCCCGCCTCGCACCTCCCCGCGCCGCCCCGCCCCAAGGAGGCAGCCGGCGCGCCCCGCCCTGCGCAAACCAATCCTTACGCTCTTCGCTTTCGTCATCACTACCCGCGCTGCGGGGCTCTATGGGATTTGTAGTTCCTTCGGAGAACTCCAAGCGTGGCGGACGCGAACTGTCCCGGCTGACTCCGGCAGATAACAGATCTGCTCCAAGTGTGATGCAGTTCCTTAGGCGTTTCCACCCTTGCTGGGAAGCTTCGTTTGGAACTCCTCTCATCGCTCCGTGGGAACTAAACTGTTATTTCTTTATTTGTAGGAGCCTTTCAAATCCAAGACCTAGGATTCTGAGCCCGCAGTTCCCGCACCTCTTCCACCTGGACCCAGAGCAGGGAAGATTTCTTAGAGCTGCAGTGGCACACGCAGTCTGCGGATATCTGCAGAGTATTATCCGGCTTCTCCAATTTCTGCAAGCTCTTAAACTCCCCACCACTGCCCTTCAATCACAGAGCTCAGAGAGATTACGTGCTGACTTGATCCCCATCCGTCCCCCTTGAACGCCACACAAGCCACAGCCAAATAAGATCAGTATTTTAGAGTAGACGCTACAACACCCACTCCCTGCCCGCAGGAGAATGTTTTTTTTTTAAAAGAGCCAGTCTGGGAAGGGTTTCGCTACAGTTCTGTCTTACAAAATTAGCATCACCTGAGACGGGAACTTTAAGTCATGGAAATTTAGAGAATGAGATTTGGTTTTAGTCTTGACTAAACCACTTCACTGATGTGTGAAATCTTGCAGGCTCGATACACCTCAGTTTTTTCGTCTGTAAGACGGATGTAAAACAACTACTTCATAAGGCCGTAGTGAAAATTAAGGACTGAATGTGAACGCACTTTGAAAGTCGTAAGGCACTGGGGAGTGTAGTTGTTTTTAGTGTTTATATTCCTCACCCCTCAGGAGCCTTTCAATTAATAGGTGTTAAAGGAAGAGAGGAAACATTCTGATGTATTGGTTTAACCCTTCATTATTTATTGCCCTAGACGAACTGTTTGGTTTGTGGGTGTATTGTTCAATGCTCTATTGTTTGCAAGTGGCAGATAAAGCTTCTGTGAGAGAGGGGTTTCCTGCTTCAGGTCATGTAGAAGAAGAGGTGGCTAAGGCGACCAAGAGCTCCATCCTGTCAGAACTCTGTCTCATCATTGCTCTATTTCCATTTTAATTTACAGTATATCAGATACCAAAAGCTAACTACACACCACACACACACACACACACACACACACACACACACACAAACGAGTTCTTTAGACTCAATAACTTTTAAGAGGATAAAGGGGTCCTGAGACCAATCTGAGAAGAGAACCACTAGCACAGATGTATTTTCTTTAGAATCAAGGAAATGCCTTCGAAAAGATAGAGGTCATTATGGGAAGCAATGGACTCAACCATTATTGCAATAAGAAAAAAAAAAACCTGTACACCTAATTGAACAAGTTAGCAAGCTCTTCTAAGATATATCTTGGATGCCTTGTGACTTCATATACAATGCCAAAGATATTACACTATTGGTCCTACTATGGCAGAAAACTTAGATGGTCCTACTCTTGACCTTCACTTTCTACACAGACAGAGGTGAAATACATCATTAACTCACACTAACTGATCATACAGTATCCAGAGCTGACCTGGTATCCTATTTCTAGAATGTATTTTAGATCGAAGCTGTAAAGAGGCCAAAGTCATAGTTCTGAAGAGGGATTGAACTCCCTTTGGAGAAGGAATTCTGCCCTCTGACATAGACTAAGCTTCTTTGCCCAAGCCAGTCCTTAGGCAAGCCTCTAAACTTGGGTTCACTCAGGGTCTGAACAAGTGTGGATAGTTCAGTTCTATTCCTTGGTCTTCATTTGTGGAATGGAAGGGAGAAAATATTCAAGGACTATTGGAACCTTCTTTCTCTAGTATTTTTTAATTTTTAATATTTTTATTACTCTTCTGTATGTGTGTCTGATTGGGGGCAGGGCTCATGCCATGGGAGTGCACATGTGGCAGTCAGAGGACAACATTGTAGAGTCAGTTCTCTCCTTCCATGTTTACATGGGTTCTGGGGATCAAACTCACAGGCTTACATGGTAAGTGCATTTACCCGTGGAGCCACCTCACTGGCCCTCTTCTATCTTTTTAAGGATGTGTGCTGAGAACTAACTTTCAGTCCCATCATGTACATACAACTACTGCTATTGTCTTTATGTATGAATAAGGACATACTTATACAGTAAAGAACTTGACTTCAAAAGAGAAGCTAGAGTTAGGCAGTTTAAAGTCCCTAAATTTCCTTAGGGGAATTTTATGAATTAATGGGATTTTTAAAAAATTCCATCATATTTTCGCTTCCTCAGCTTTTATCTACCAAGTGTGTATAGTATTGGGGCTTTCTAGTTGGTAAGTTTGTGTACCACTTCTGAACCAGTCAGGCATTTTGCTATATTGACACCATTTCAAGAAGAATTTGATTTTTTTTCTTTTGGTGCATTATTAATTCTAATATTTTGTACATTGATATAGACCTGATTTATAGTGGTAGTAACTGGGGACCATTGATTCCAAGCATTTTGCTCAAAGTTCCCAACATAAGTATATTGTAGGTTGAGGGTAATGCAGGCAGCAGATTCCTGGTCACCATTATTCTTCAGGTGGTATTAAGAGATTCTTCTCTGAAAAGTCACATTATAGTTCTCTGAGGAAGCCAATTAAATCTGTATTTTTTACCAATTGCTCAAACCTATCACTACAGAGCCTGGATCAGGACATTCAATTTGATTAAGAAATTTGTTGTTGGAGCCTTCTGTACAGTTAATATTGTACATGAAAATTTTAATACTGACATCACAGTAATTTACCCTGTGTGCATTTTGTGGCCTGGACAATCTTTCTTTCTGATTTAAGGAGGTTACTCTTTCCCCCACTGGTGACTGAATCATGGTACTTACTCTTCTAGTCATTGAGTCAATATGAGTTCTTCCTTATGAACTTTCTAATGAAGGAGATCTGTGTGATGTGAGGTCTGTGTGTGCTTCAGGCTGATTTTAATCAGAGCTTCAGTTCATTTTCCTGCAGTCTCTTGTTCCTGGCCACATCTATGCGTACTTCGTCCTCAGGCTGGTTTTCCTCATGATACTAAGCAAGACTAGTAAGACTGCTGTCATTCAATTTCAAGGGCATTACTACCTCCCATAGTGAGGTAGCAAGGCCTAACCAAAAATCCTACATTCTTGAGAGGCTCTGTATTCTCCATACAAAATCTCTGCATAAGTTAAGAATTCTTTTTAATGTGTGTATGAGAGTGTTGGTTGGGGACAGTGCATGCCACAGTGCATTTGGAGGTCAGAAAACACCCTCTGACACCAATCCTTGCCTTCTGCCTTGTTTGAGGCAGTATCTTTTGTTCATTGATGCATATGCCAGATTCACTGACCAGCAAGCTTCCAGAGATTGCTTCTCTCTGCATCCCATTTTGGTATAGGCATGCTGGGATTACAAATGCATGCTATTGCTACTGCATCCAGCTTTACATGGGTTCTGGGGATCCAAACTCTGGCCTTCACATTTGCATGGCAAGCATTTTATCCTCTGAGCCATCACCCCAGCCCAAGAATATTTAAGCTCATTTAAGTTGCTCTGTGACACTCGAGTACGAGGTATGTCATCTTTTTCACTTGCTTCAGTGAAACTAAATGTAAGACTTCCACTTGCCAAGGTCTGACAAAGCAGGAATCTGCTAGTATAGAGATTATTTTTCCCCTCCCCTTGATGGTACTCTACAAAAACCCAGGCATTAACATGAGCCTGGAATATTAAGAGCAAGTAGCCTCTGGCCATGAGTTTGCATCCCCAGTGTTGATGGCTTTACCCAGCTACTCTTGGGTACTGGCCCTCTGCCATTGGTTGAGCACAGCTGTCTTGGTGGGCTACAAAGATGTCCTTCATGATGACTGTCCTCCCTGATAGATGACTCAGCTGTGGAATAAGTTCTCTGTTATGAAATAATTTGTATACTTCTTTGTCTTCTCCCTTCAAACCTGGAAATCTCTTAGGAAAGAGGCTTTGCTAATTTCTTGCATCCCCAGCAGGATACTTCACACATAGTAGGTACTCAGTTAAGTTTTCAGATGAACGAGTACATGAATGAACATCGGCCAGTCATGCCAGCAGTATAGCTAATTAAAAAAAAAACTTTGGGGGGGCTGGAGAGATGGCTCAATGGTTAAGAGCACTGGCTGTTCTTGCAGAGGACCCAGGTTCGATTCCCAGAACCCACATGGCAGCTAACAACCATCTATAACTCCAGTTCCAGTTATAGACACCCTCTTCTGATTTGCACAGGCATTTCATGACACTGGTGCACCTACCTACATGCAGGCAATACATTCATACACATAAAATAAAAATTATAAATAATAAAATATTTTTTAAACCTTTGGGGCAATTTGCTTTATTATTAGCTAAAAGACCTACATACTTTGAGCTTCATCCATATCTTTCTATTTATACTCTTCTCTGTATTTGTTATTCATTCTGTAATTATACTATTCATTGATGTGTTTAAAAATTCAGTTTGTACATATGTTCTTTTTCTAGTTTATCAAGATCACATTGAAAGATAAACCCTTAAAAATACCAATCCCTTTGTCACCCATGTGTCATTTAAAAACATTCCATTTGTTTAGAGATATTCTACTGGTGTAATTCTATAATTATCCTCATCAGAGAGGACAAGCTGTACTCTTCCACCCACTAATATTTCCTGAGCAATCATCAGGTTAATAATGTCTACTCAAACAAATATTCATTAAACTCACATTATGAAACCAACTCAGCAAGGCCACCTGGAGGTCACAGAGAGATCTGTCATGAGGTACCTCGTCTCAGTTTGTTCTCAGCTAATTGAGGGCTGAGCCCACAAGTGGAAAGTGTGAAGCAGACATTTTGCTGGCA